TCGGGCAGAGTAAAATAAATAGTCATAATTCCCCTGCCCCCCCTAGATAATGACAGAAGTAAGTTCTCATTATAGAGAAGTATCAGCAAAAATGTTAGATGGGATTGATGTCCTTTCAAGCTGAGCAGCACCAGTCCCTAGTTTAAGCAGATAGGCAAGGCCATTTGCATCAGGTGCTAATTAAGTTTCAGAGCTGGGACGTGGGGGATAACAGAAGAGAAGCAGGAGGCACAGTGCATTAAATATAATGCTGTACGGCGCGCAGCTCCGTGGTCTGCAGAGGTGCTATTTAATAAGAGAACTAATCACAGTCAAATTTTGAAGTCGAAGGGCAGACTGTCACAGGAAATCTGTGTGAGAGTAATTTCATCAAATTTTTAATCCTTTTCTCCTACCGTTGTTTCTTCTTGAGTGAATGCACTCCCTCTGGTGGCTCGTTTATTATCTCAATTTCATTCCTTTTTCAGTTAAGGTTGCATGCAAGCAGCTGGCTAAAAATTGGGAAAGCAATATGGTACTGCTTTTATTAGGCTAACTTAATGTTTTATGTTCTCGGTAGTGTAGGCACAGATAAAGTCTAGCTATTCAAATGTGTTTTAAAATAATCTCCATTCATGAAAAAAAAAAAAAAAAAGAAAGCTTAGAAGGAAGAAAAAAAGAAGAAAGAAACTGCTTACAAGATTATTTCTGAGCAGAAAATGTTATCAGATAAATGTTCCATTGGCCTCAGTGATCTGCTGTTATAAAACCCAGGTTGATCATTCACAAAAAATGAACCAATGTTATATCAAACTCTCTCTTAACAGTTTCCTCTTAGGTGTCCATCTTTTATGTCTCACACTGTAAGTTTTTCAGGACAGAAAACACATTTTTCTGATCATGGCTTGTTAGGAAAATAAATGCTATTGCTGTTTGCAAGCCCATGGGAAGAACCTGTGAGATAGGAATCATCAAGAGTGAGAAATTCTCTGCTCAGAAGGATAAACTTCTTTTGGGTGTGGTTTGCTTCTCATCTGTTCATACAGGCAATTTATTTACTGACACATTCTATAAAACAACTTTGTTTAAGCAAAGCCAATCTTACAGCGGTATTTGGTAATTAAACTCTATTCTGAGACTGGGAAACATCAGTAGAAAGAGTGTTAATTTAATTAGGTGTCATGTTGTGTTTCAAAACAGAAGCACAAGCCAAAACTGCTGCAAACCACAAGCTTGCCTGCAGACTGATGTACTCCAATACATGGTGAACTTTGTCCTACAAGGAACTCTTATTGAAGAATTAGATTTAAATGCTGAGCTGACCATGTATGCACTGCAGTGAAAAGATTTTGAATCATTTCAGTGTGTTTGGGGGAAGTTTGGCTAGGAGAAAAAAAAAAAGAGCTGGGGATGATTTCTTTTTACTTCTTTCTGTATCTCCAACAATCTGGGTGACAGATACTTTGGTCAGATGGTGGGATCTACAAAACACCGCAGTTCCCCCAGCTTGCAGATTTAGACCAATGCTAATTTTAGAGGCCAATCCTATTAATTAAACTCATTTACTTTAGTCTTTAAAGAGTTCTCTGTGACCATACAACATCGAACTAACTGTTTATCCCAGAAATCATCTAATTACATAATCTATAATATTGTTTCTGTCATGATTCACTTAATTGCATGTCTGTTGCCGCAGTGCATCAATTTGAGAAAATTTTTGTTTCCTTACTCAAGAAAACAGTTTATGCTCTCAAGACCAATTTGCCAGCTGGAGCATATATTTCCTACAAAGGAATGCAAAGATAAGGCTCTTATAAATATATGGAAGCATCACCATCTCTGCAGCTATACTTTCCTACTAGGAATGTCAGTGATGGTGCATCACAGTCAGCCGTCTCCATAAGAGAGGTCCTTACTCCTGGCACCTGATCCTCAGGGATGGCAGAGTATCTATCTAGCTGGGACGTGTCTATGGAGGCACTAGTTTGCCCCTTGCATTGCTCTGAACAAGTTACTGAGAAAAAGGTATGAAACCCTGTGGTGGCATGAAGATGTAGGATGTGTTTAGTGCTAGCCTTAAGGAGCTGTCACACATCTCCTGCATTTTCTCCTGCCTGAAAACCTGAAGGTTTTCAGCCATGTTAGAAGTTCCATCCTGGAAGCTGCCTGTGAATTCACACACTCCAGGAAAAGATCAGGAGGTATCTTGGCTTTTTATTTTTCTCCTCATTCTTTCAGGACTTTTATCCTGAAGGTAGACAGTAGTGTTTGTGAACTGGTAACATAGTTGTTAAGGGTGGATCATCATTTGATTAATTCATCCAGGGAGCTGTAGTAATATGGCTGTGTGTTACTTAACAATGATGGATAGAAATCAGGAAAGAGAAAACTGGTTCACAAAATTAACAGACACTTGAGTCTATTCTTCAAGACCTTGCATTGTATATATAAAACAAGTGGGAAATTATTCCAAGCCTCCATTTATCCCCATGTAGTTTGAGCATGGCCCTGAATCCTATCACTAATATGCATGAAATGACAGTTCAATTTTGTATACTAGTATGATTTTATTGAATTCAATGATAATTGGATGTTTCCCTCAGTTTTATCTCAGTGGTGTTTGAAGAGAATCCTATGTTTGGGCATTTTTGTGTTGTTTAACAACATCTCACTCTCAACAGCTGTAAATGAAAGTGGAGCAGTGTGTACCGCTCTGATAAAAATGCCTCACTAAACAAAAAGAGGAAGGAGCCAACCTTCTTCCACTTCTTTATTAAACTCATAATTTGTTGTTGGCCCTGACCCAGTGTTTTAAAATGTCTGTGTTTCACCAGTTGTGTTAAAATGAAGCGCGCTTGGCATAGTTTTGAAAGTCATTAATAATTGAAAAGATTCCTTCCGACTCCAGTGATACTTTTTTTAATCTTCCAACTTCTGCATATAGAATTGTTACTAAGATCCGGAACAAATTTTGTAGTTTGATATATGAAACCCAGAGTTAATCAAATTGCTATGTCTTCATCTCGATGTCATTTATTTTGACATTCAGAGAATGTTATCAGTTTCTCGACTTTGTCATAAGAACTACTACCCATTTCATGGACTGTTTATAGTGATGTATTTCAGGTTGAAGGTATGGCTTACATCTGTCTGTTCCCTGTGAGGAGCTGTTGGCTGCCATGAGGTCTCCCCTCAGCCTGCTCTGCTCTGGGCTGAACAAACACAGGAGCCTCACCGCTCCTCATACATGCAATCCTCTGGGCCTTTCTCCACTTTCGTTGCCTTCCTTTGGATGCTCTCTAACAGAGCTTTACGTCCTTTTTGTGCTGTGGTACCCAGACCCACACTCACTGCTGGAGGTGAGGCCACACAGTGCGGAGCAAAGGGGACAACCAATCCCCTCACCCCGTCTTTTTTTATCCCATATGTTCCATATTTCATATACATGTGTATTAAAAGAAGGAGTCACTCCTTCCTCTAATGGTCACTCCTGTTCTTATGACACTATAAAGAAGCCTTAAAAGAATGGACTTCGCATTTTATACATACAGCTAATTTAATGCTTTTACAATTCATTACAAACATCCCATTGTTAGAAAGAGTCATTGTCGTGATTTTTTTTGTTAACTTTTTCTATGTAAGCATCATTGTTCTCATCTGGAGTGCGTTTAAGTGACTGTGGAAAAAATAACAAATATTTGGTGATATTTGGTAATGTTAGGGTTACTGTGAGGTTTATGAAATAATTAGTTGAGTAGTTTAAAAAATCTTTCCCTCTCAAACACCTACTTATCAGTACTTATTTTAAAGGTGAGAATGATGGAATCTTTTCAGAGAAAAGACGCCGTCTTGTGTCTCATTAACATTGCTTATAGTTATAATTATGGAGGAATTAAACAAAAGAAACAAGCGAACAATCAAAACCCCAGCAACTTAACAGCTGCTTTTTCCAAGGTTACTCTTCAGCTTGCTCAGGATTTCAGCGTGAGCTAACATCAGCAGAGTTACCTATGGAAATCCAGCTAGTGAGCTCATGTACCGTGCAGATGACTTACAAGCTGTGCATATCTGAAACAGCCATTTACCGTTACGACAAAACAAAAACAGAAACAACTCTGTATCACTAAAATGTCATTTCAAGCGTCTTGTAGACAAACTCTCATCCCTGATGATAGGCTGGTGCAGAATGACTCAGTGACAGGAATGTGTTAGCATGGTCCCTTCCACAAGAATTAATATGTGTGACAAGGAAGATAATCTTGCTCAGTCAGAAAGTAAATAATAAATAAGGACTCAAAAATGGGGTTCAGTGTCCAGGCCTTATGATGATGATAATGTTCTTGAAGCTATTTCTTGAAGCTGTACCCCTTGTTGTGTAATAAATATTCATTCTGTTTATTTTCCAGTGTTAAAATTAGCTCACTGGTCACCAGAGATCATTTGGGTTGTGGCATTTTCTCCTTTTGGATTCCTTTAAAGGTGGTAGGGAGGAAGAGAGACAATTCAGCAAGAGCATAAAGAAAAATAACAGTTAAAAATAAAGGTGTGTTATTTAGCTCTGGCTTCAGGCTTGTATAACTTTTAACACATGAAAAAGATTATATACCCTATAAAATACTATATACACACATATATATTTTGCCTAAGAGCAACATAAAAGCTAGGATTCTTGAGTCTATGAAGGGGCTTATAAATACTACCTCTCTTTCAATGGCAAAAATGCTTGGGCTGTAGGACATAAAAGTACTTACTTGTCCCTTAGTCTTATCAAATAAAATGTGCAAAATATCATAGCTGAGATGGAAGGCTCCCTTTCCATTGTAGATATGCACTGCATCTGGTTCATTCAGCTGGGGCCTGTGATTTCAACGATACTTTAAAACTATAATCTTAAATATTATACAACAGTTTTGTCATGGAAAATCAGCCTTGCTTCTCTCCATCCTAATGTAAGCCCATAAAGGATCTTTGACCATGAACTGAAACTTGCTGAGAAAGCATCTCCCAGGAGTCACGTGTTCCATCTGAGCTTTTAGGGCGGACCTTCAAGGAAGGGCGTCTCTCTGAGTTGCACTGTGAGGTCTTCACACTCCTTCCTTCTAGATGGAGGAGAAGGAGACAAATGTGAAGACAGAGATGTCCTTGGGTCTTACCTGCTTGCTGATTCTCCTGGCCAGCTGCTCTTGCTGCCAGCACCACACGTGCCACTGTGCAGGCAGGATATTCATCTGCCAGGAGAGCAAGGTGGTCCAGCTGCCTCGGGACATTCCCACCAATGCCACAGAACTGTAAGTAGGGAGAGGGAAGGGTGCAGGCGGCTCTCTTGCCAACTTTCAACATAGCTGCTGCTTGGCAAGCCAAGGGCTGCGTTTGTAGGGGGTCGCTGGGGAACCTCACACCAGCTGTGGAAAAGCACAGTGCTTCCTTTGGCACTTGGTTAACTACAGCTTGAAGCTCCTCTCCCTTACCCTTATAATGCTCCCTTTCAGATCTCTGTTAAGAGAAGATGTAGTACAGTATAATACGTACAGACTAGATTTTAAACGGGATTCCTTGGTGCTGTGACAGCAACTTGAAGCTTTGTAGGGTTTCTTTACAGCTTGCTCTCACACCACCAAAGCATGTTTGGGGCAGGCAAGTTTTACTACAACAGCCTAGTGAGATCTTCTGTCTGTGCTGCAGGGCCTTCCCAAAGGTTCAGGCTTATTTGCCAAGAAGCAGCTTATTGTTTTCTGTTTAGAAATCACAAAGGCAGTAAAGAAAGGACTGAGATAAGCTTCAGAGGGTGATTCTCCTGTATCAGGGAAGCAGCGTGACTGACTTGGAGGGAGCTGACTGTGTAAAGACACAGTATTGTATTACTTGAGGAAGAATTTTGTTTATCTTAAAGCTTCTTGTTTTCATGAACAGTACCGTATAGCAGCTGTTTTCTGTGTCACTAGCACAGGCAAGCAAGAGAAGTCATGCAATGTCAAGCATCTACATAAGCAATTGTTTTCCTTTTAATTTCTCTTAAGGCAGATCATATTGCCCCTTGCCTATACCCATAGCTGTCTGGCATCATTAGGATCTAAAGCAAAAGTGAAAGGAATCATCCTGGATAAACCCTTCTATTTATAATTGGAGCAGTAAGTTTGGTGGGAGGATACAAAGAAGAATGATACATTGCGAGTTGAAAAATACATCCCTATCTTGACCTCACAGTCCACACCATACCCCCACTTACTGTCCCACAGTTTTCCTAGCGCAGAAGTTTTGTTTTATTCAGAAGAAGCAGTTGTTTTGCTCAATGAATCAGTGGACTGCAGTGAAAATTTGGAGAAAATGCCCGAATTAGCCACAGGTCAGTAAAAGTTTAAATCATTCTCACAACTAAAGGGAAAAAAATCCATCTGTGAATTAGGTCATCTAGATTTTGGACGAACCGTGCTCCAGGCGTACACTGCTAATTTTGTTTAATTTTGCTTTGATTGTTTCTTTAGATTACACAGTTAAGGTCTGCCTTCTAGGGATTGAAGAAAAAAAAAGCAGTTTATAATTATTTCTGCAAATAAGCAGAGTTTTATATCGCCCAAAAGCACCTGCTAGCAAAATGGGATTTGTTTCCAGCAGATCCTTGTTAACTTCTCTAGGATTTGTTAAGGTTGTTAACTGCTGGTGTTTCAGCACAAGTGTGTGTTCCCTGAGGCAGGCTGACTGCAACGTCAGTGTGACTGAGAGCATCAGCTGCATCCTCTCTTCTTGCAGTAAATATTGTACTTGGAATCTCTTGACTTGACTCTTCCCATTTACACCAACTTTTGTTTCCTCAGGAGGTAATTCTGGTCCTTGTAAAACAGTGCAGCCCGGGATTAATTTCAGCATAGTTAAAGAATTTGTACACAAATACTCTGTAAAGTGTGGTGTTCGTGCAACTAAAACCAGATGCACTGGCTGAGGAGTTCAGTCACAGATAAGCCTTAGATCTTCATTCAAAGGTAGATGGGAACTCTAGAAAAGTGCCTTCCCTCTATGCTGAGTGCCCAGTAGGGCTGTTTCAGCAGCCTGAAATAGACCTCACCACTCCAGGTGCTGTTGCAAATGCACTGCTGGTAACAGAGAAGATGCTTTCTTCATATTTCTTCAAAACACTTCTAGGAGTCAAAAGGGCTTTAGAACCAGTGTGGCACCTGGAGCATAGATGGCAAAAGCATCCTCTGCAGAACATGAACACAAACTTCTCTCTACCAAGTACAGGTCCTGCAAAGTGCTTTGTTTCTCTAAGAACATGTTCTGAAAGTGCTGGTTGTGGTTTATGGCTTGACATGAAGGAGAGGTCTTCAGTTTATTTTAATCCTTTTACCCTTTGTTATGTGGTCTTGATGGCTTTTCTCATTTGTCCTGGTGTCTTTCCTAGTTTTAGCTGTTGAAAAACATGCACATGAAAGCATTGGAGAGAGAACAGAAGCTCGATAAAACTCCAGCACTTCTGCTTCCGTGTGTTTCTGTTTCACTACAGTTATTTCTTAAACTGGGACAGTGGCAAGCAGCTATGTTACATAGTGAAAAAAAAAACAAAAAAAAAACCTCAGGATGAAAATAAAAAATAGCATCCTCACAGAACAACCAGCTGTTATGCTGCTGTTTGCTGCAGCTGATTTTTGTGTGATTGGTTTGGGTTGGTTTGTTCGTTTATTTATTTATTTATTTATTTATTTATTTATTTATTTATTTGGCCGGGGGGCAGGGGGTGAGAGGATGGAGGGAGGTCTATTGGCCATTGACACACGCTGCTGTGGTGTTTTTTCAGTTATTTCCGGACAGGGAAAGCTTATGCTCGACAGGGAGTGTGAGCTTTGCAGCGTGGTGTGAGGGCAGAGGCTCTGCTCCTGGCTCAGCACCTGCTTTAGCAAGGGCAGCAGAGAGAGAAGGTTTGCAGCTGCTTAGAGCAAGCCATTTCCAAACAATGTGGCACACAGAGCAGGGATTGGAAACCATGCGTTTCCAGTTCTGCAATGCCTGCTTTTTGCAAAAGCTCTGGAGAGGACTGCTGCACCTCTGTGTGTGTGCTCTGCTCCTTGCTCATTTGAGATTCCTCTGCAGCTGGCCTGTCCCACAAGTTTGCAGGAGCAGATGGTTCTTATTAGCTGTTGTATTTTATAACCTTTGCTTGGAAGAGGAGTTGCAAAAGAATATATTTTGGCTTTTATATAGGTAGATAGATATACAAATAGATAGATGGTGAAATGCTTTTGAGAAATACATGAGGCTGTGACTTACTGTACTGGAACCACTCCATGAGAAAAGAGAGGCAGAAAGTTCAGATGGGGAATTTAGGTTTATTTGTGTCAGAGTATTAACTATTAATCAGTCTGCAGAGTGAGAGAGGGGAACAACTGATGCGTCACCTGTGATAGTTCACAGAATTAAAGGAGTTTTAAGATGCTGCATCAAGCTTTGTAGGCCATCCTTATTATTTACTAAGGTTTTGTTTAGTCCATAGAGATCTTGCTTTGAGAAAGTTATGCAAACACAAATAGCTTGTTCTCAAAAAGGAGGAATCCTTTCAGGAATTTATCAAACTACTTTAAGCAGAATCATGTGCCTAGCAAATGGGAATACAACTAGAGATGCCAGGAGAAGCTTACTCATCTCTAACTGTACCCTTCCTTGCTTTTGCACTTCTGATCTGAGGAGTGCCTTAAACCACACTTACACTACCCCAGAAAAGTAGAGAGATGTAGCCCAGCATGTGGGTTTACCCATTTGGGCAGTAAAATATATCTCCAACAAAATAAAGCAACAGTATATGGCAGCTTTGTAAGGGAAATGGAAAAGGGTTGCTTGGTCCAATTCTGCTTGCATTCCCACAGGGTTATGTGACAGAAATATCAGTATCAGTGTTTTATCTGCATCTTATAATTGATGTTATTTTTAAAAGGTATTATGAAATGAAATTTGTTCATGCTGTATTCATTACAAAGAGCAACTGTCTCCAGCTTAGTTGATTTCCTTATTTCCAGTTGCTTCTAAACATCACTCACACACTGATTTGTCCTCCTTAGCCCACAGCAGCAGGGAGAGGTGTACCAACAGGTACCTTCTGCTTGCCTCTGTCTGAGCCATGGAGATGTTGTAAGAAACATCTCTGGAGAATGAAGGCTGCTCAAAGAAAGCTTGCAGATGTGTTATTCAGCCAATTAAAAGTTCCCCCGTGAGGAAATGCTTGATGTGTTAGTAAGCCAGAGGCTTCAGCAGGAGAATGCTGCCAGTTCTAGAAAGGAGTAGCTAAGATGACTGAAATAATTGACACTGGAGACAGCCCGTCGTTTTGCACCCATCTGTCACAATGCTGCCTGAAAGAGAGGGAAATTGCAGGCAAAATTAATAGAGCAAGCCTTGATCATAGTGTTTTGTACTTTAAAATACCTTCTCCATCTTCACTGACCAGCTTAGCCATTGGCAGAGCCGTTTAAATGTATGTTGTGTAGAAGCTTTTCTCCCATGTATCTGCAAACTGTAAACAGCGGGGTTTTTCTTGCCCTCTGCATAGGTGTTTTCGTACTACTGCTCAAGGTTATTTATTTTAGACTATCTAGTCAAGGCTGAGTAGGTGTCTGCCCACTAGAAAGTGGCTGCCTCGAAATAGCAAGTTCTATGTTATAAACCAAGTGAGTCAGATGTGTTTCCCTGAGACACAAGCTATGAACGATGTGAATGGGAGCTGCAACAGTTTCAATGACAGCTGCAATTAGATTTTTGTTATGCTTTCACACAGAAGGTTGAAATTTTCATGCAATTACAGCTCTCATTCAGGTGTTTATACAGGTGGATTGACCTTAATACAGGGTGTGGAGAGAAGAAATGCAGCTAACAAAAAGAAGACCTGTGAAGCTTTCAAATACATTATGCAGTTAATCAATAAATCTACACGTTTTCAGACAAGGGTGGTAATATTTGCACAGCAGAGCATATGCATTTTGTATTGTATGCTATCTGAAGCCAAACTTTTTAAAAACTTTTCCTTTTTAACCAGTGTTGCTTCTGTTAATGTAGAAAAAGTCTATGGCTTGTGTTATGTCCTTCTCTTTTCAAGTTTATGACCAGTTCACACTTTGAAGCTGAGCACTCTAGAGCTTGGTGTGCAATCACCAGTTGTACAGTGCTGGAGAGGTCCAGTGCATGTGTTGGGTTCTGTATTTGACATTTCCATTGCGGGGATAAACAGAAATAAGCAGAGCATAAGAAGACAATAAAGGCTCAAGGAAGCAAGTGACACTAAAGAAGGATAATAAACCCTGTAGGGCAG